GTCTGCGTCGACTACAAAACAGTCAACAAGGCGTGCCCAAAAGACAGCTTTCCTCTACCACGGATAGATCAACTAGTTGACCTAACGGCGGGGCACAACCGACTTAGCTTTCTGGACGCATACAGAGGCTATCACCAAATCGCCATGCATAAACCAGACCAGGAGGTCACATCTTTTACAACTCCAAGAGGATTATACTGTTACAAGGTCATGCCCTTTGGCCTAAAGAACGCAGGGGCAACATTCCAACGTATGGTCACCAAAATGTTTGAACCATTGTTAGGCAGAACAATGGAAGCTTACATCGACGACACGGTGGTCAAAAGCAAGGATGAGAATGACCATCTTAAGGACCTAGGCGAGATGTTCCAGATCCTGAAGAAGCACAAGTTGCGCCTCAATGCGTCCAAGTGTGCATTTGGAGTAGGATCTGGCAAATTCCTGGGCTTCTTTGTGACCAACCGAGGTATAGAGGCAGACCCCTCTCAAATCAAGGCAATCCAAGATCTGGAGAGACCGAACTTAGTAAAAGAAGTGCAGCATCTCACCGGCATGGCAGCTGCACTCAACCGGTTCATAAGCAGGTCGTCAGATAGACTACGACCATTTTTTCATGCCTTAAAAGCCAAGTTTGAGTGGGATGAAGAATGCGACCGAGCTCTGGAAAGCTTGAAGGAGTATATGTCTTCCCCATCACTGCTTGTTACTCCAGTACCTGATGAAGAACTCTTCTTATACTTGGCGGTCTCTCAGCACGCAGTGAGCGCAGTGTTGGTTCGTGCAGAAGGAATCCAACACTTGCCCATCTATTATGTCAGCAAGACACTGCTGGGAGCCGAAATAAGGTATTTGCCACTGGAAAAACTAGCATTAGCCTTAATGATGGCCTCCAGGAAATTGGCACACTACTTCCACGCCCACACCATAGTCGTCCTCACAGCTTTCCCACTAAAAGCTTTGTTTGAGAGGGCGAACTTTTCTGGGCGAATTTTGAAGTGGGCAGTAGAGTTGGGACAATTCGACATCAAGTTCCAACCCAGGACCGCAATAAAAGCCCAATCTTTGGCAGACTTCGTCGCAAGAGTTTACTCCTGGAAGTCATCATATCTGCCCAGTCGACCTAACTGACACAACCGAACTAGGGACGGAAGTTGACGCCGGAATAGCGCAACCCCTAGTAGAAGGTACTCAGTCAAACTCCAAGGCAGACCAGACTACGGACAACAAGGAAGAAACAAACAAAGGTTCACCAACAGTACAATCAGATGACGAAGGGCAGACAGCAAACATGGACCTTGAAGAAAACACCATCCTTGACCCCACGACATCATCTGACCCCTCCATGTGCTGGAAGTTGTTCGTTGGAGAGATGTGGAAGCTCTTTGTGGATGGAGCATCCAACCGGCATGGTGCAGGGCTTGGCATAGTCCTCATCTCCCCAGACGGCCTGGTTGTAGAGCAAGCAATCAACCTTGGCTTCCCAGCGTCAAACAACGAAGCGGAGTATGAAGCGCTTCTCGCAGGACTCAAATCAGCATGCTACATGAAGGCCACCGAACTAATGGTTTACAGCGACTCACAACTGGTGGTAAATCAAATTTCTGGCGACTATGAAGCGAAGGATAATAGGATGGCCAAGTACCAAGTGTTGGTCAGAACAGAGATCAAGAAATTTGAAGTAGTAAGGATAGAGCAAATCGGTAGAGAGGAAAATAGCAGAGCAGACGAACTAGCAGGTTTCGCCTCCATGGCAGATACCTCCATACCCCATCCACTACTGATCGACTACCTACCCAGACCAAGCATAGAAGACCCCGAAGCAGAAGAAGTATGTTGCACAGAACTAGGCCCCTATTGGATGGATCCCATCATCTTGTTCTTAAAAGACGGCATCCTACCAGAAGCGAAAAAAGAAGCCCACAGAATAAGAGCGAAATCACAACGATTCTGGCTCTCACCATCCTTAGCATTATACAAGAAGTCATTCTCAGGACCCTACCTAAAGTGCGTACATCCCAGTGTTATCCCAGTTAGGCAACCCAAGAGGGGGGGTGAATTGGGTTATTAAAAATTTCACAATATTAAATATAACACAATATTCAGAATTTGAATAAATAAAAACAAACAGAATAATAATTATCAATATAAAAGTAGAAGAGATAGAGAGAGAAAATCAAACACTGCGATTTATAGTGGTTCGGCACGCCAGGCCTACGTCCACTCCCCAAGGAACCTCCTTGAGAATTTCTTTACTATCAATTGAATAAATACACTACCAAGCTTGTGGATTTGGCACAGGACTTACTCTTATCTATTGAGCCTCACTCAAATTCCTTTTATAAATCAACAAAATTTATAAAAGAATTACGTTAGATGAAAAAAAAAATTAAAAAGTTTTTAGAATCATGTTTGGTTTGTTGTTTAGAAAAAAATTCAGATTTTTTTTTTTTTTGAAAAATTGAAAACTAATTTAATAAAAATAAATATGAAAAAATATGTTTAATATGTAAAAATTATTTCTAACCAATCAAGAGATAAAATTCTATAAAAATGATATTTTTTATTTTTTATTTTTTATTTTTTTCTCTTGTCTTTGTTTTGGGTTAGAAGGTGATATATCTACTCTTTGTGAGAGAATTATTGTAAAAGTGGGTTCAATTACCACTTATTCTTATTCCTTATTTTTGTGAGAGATTTTGTAAGGGTAAGGCATTTATTGTTGAGTGAGGCTCAATAGATAAGAGTAAGTCCTGTGCCAAATCCACAAGCTTGGTGGTGTATTTATTCAATTGATAGTAAAAAAATTC